GTTTCAGAGTGCCATTTTCTATCGAATAAAGTAAAAAAATACCGAGGGTGCCATTTAAAAATCAAAAGTTGTATTCATTTCCGTTGAAACCGGAAGTGACCGAAAACAATTGAATACGTCAATCAATCCGAATTTATGTCATATACTAACGTACCAACTATCGTTGTTTTATCTGAAAAAATAAAAAAGTTATAGGGGTGAGCCACTTTTGAGAGGAACCCGGTATAGTCACTTACTAGCGAAAAGTTGTTCCATTTATTTCACTCGATTTTTGCCGAGATCTACCGCAGGCTACACAACCAACTATTTTAGAGTCTTTTTCGATAAATTGCGATAGTGTCACTGTTAATTTAAGTTCTGCCACAATTTCTATCTAGATTTACTACCTTTATACAACTATTAGTAGTAGAATAAATAATAAATAACATAAAATAAGCTCCGTAAAGACTGACAAATTCACAAAATTTCAAATCAAATTCAAATGTGTCAAATGAATCGTCAACCAGAACTGTAAAGGATCCCCACCCTAGAGTCCTTTTTCCGCCGACCATGCATGTATACATGGCATGGTACATAGATATCATTATGGTCCTTCCTTAGGGTGCATCCATACTATCTTAAAAACGGCGTATCGGCGTAACGGCGTAATGACCTTGAATGGATTTCCAGTAATTCTATTGGCTGAAAAATTCATCTGTCAGAAATTTTATCTGTCAAATTCATCTGTCAAATATTTCAGCCAATAGAATTACTGGAAATCCATTCAAGGTCATTACGCCGTTACGCCGATACGCCGTTTTTAGGATAGTGTGGCTGCACCCTTAGTCTTCTTATTCAAAGGTTAAAACCAGAGATATGGAAGTGGGAGAATGAGCTTCGACGAGTGCGCATCCAAATTTTTGTCGACGGCAAGATGGCAGACATCTTCCAGGTCTCGCTGTCACTGTGTTGTTATCTAGTTAAAATTTATTATTATCTCAATTATTCTAAACACTAATTCAAAAGGCTTGTTGTATATTGTCATAGTCATTCTAAGAAAGCTAATACGCCGAGAAAAATGATTAGTTTTCATGTGTAAGTTTATACAACATAATCGTGTTTACAGATGATCCAAAACTGTTTATTTTTAGTTTTCCTAAAGGCGATTTGTAAAAATCGTGATTGTAATTGGGATGTCAAAAATAAGTGTATGATGTGGCCATTTAAAGAGGATGTTTTTATTACGTGTGGAGGAAGAAGATACTTGGAATCAATGTTCGTGCTTCTGTAAAACAGTGCACTCTTATAGTGTCCATGAAAGCACAAGTTCAAGTGTACCAGAAATATGTCAAATAAGATTGGTCCTTACTTGACAAGGAAGATTATTTGGAGGAAAAGAAATCATAAGATAGGGTATTTTAATCGAACAGCGAAAATTTAACATTTTTATTGTAAAGTTTGTTGTAGGTAGTTGTAGTTTTTTGTGCTAAATATTTCTAACATTAGCAGCAACAGTGTTCAGAGTCAAGAGGAGGAGAATTCAGTTAATTAGATTTATGCATAGTTACAGGTATGAAGGCTTTTTCAAACATAGTATCGAGTTCTATAGTCAACATTTTTTGTTTTATTCCTACAACTGTAAAAACAAGGAACATTGGACTGAAAAAATGGCAAGATTTATATAGGAAGAAAGGGTATTATGCCAATAAGAAAATTAAATCTGTAGGCAGAAGTTTCTTATTTAAAAACTGTTATGGGGCATATATTAATTTGTATCAGTGCCACAAATCACTGAGAAAAATCATATAATATTCATAATTGTTAACGAGATGATATTTAAAAAGTGTTAAAAATGAGACTATTAGTCATGAAGCTTACAATGTTACTTTGTTTCAATATTACACTTTTATTCTTGTAAAATCTATGATGAAGTTCAAAAGCATTTTGCAATGGCCTTAAATTGTGAGCCAGGATTTATAGCAAAGGTATTTGATGCAATGAAACTTAATCAGTACCTTCCAGTATGTATTTTAGTAAGGGGATTATCAATCCCATGTTTTTAAATAGATAAAATGCAGGCCAAAGTTGACAATATTACAGTTGAGAAGAAACTATTTTATCTTAAAAATTTTCTTAAAATTCTGAGATCATATAATCTAATTTTCTTAATAATAAATTAGGTATATGTATGTTGTACATGCAGAATTTTGTTATGGACAAATAAGGATCGGCTTCTTTTGTGCAAAAATAAATGATTTTTCTAGTATTAAGACAAACCATAATGTGTTTTACAAACTTACCGGTAACAGGTTTTTTATAATATAATATTTAGGAATAATTTGTGTTGTTTATCAGTATATTAATGACTTGAATTTTGACAAATTGAATTTGTATCAAAATAATTTTACGAAATATAAAATTGATGTTCTATTACAAGATTGATATTGTCGACAAAACCAGGAGATAAATACTAATAATAATACCCTTAATAAAATCAATGATGTTTATGTATTATGAAAATATTTGTTAGAGGACATGTTATGTAACAGTTTTTGTAACACAATTTGAAGGGACGAATAAAAAAATAAACAAAAAACATATTTTTTCTAGGTTTATATTAAAAATACAAGGTAGGTAATCATCAAAAATAATTATGAACCAAATGTTTTTTATGAATATACAACTTGAACAAAAAGTTGTTTAGAACAATTTTTACCAAATTTGCAAAAATTTTAAATTGAAACGCGTAATTCAGTACAAGTAAACATGAAATATTGTTAATACTTATTTAATATCATTTCGAGTGTTTAACGACGAAAAGGTCATCTATCCGTAGCGTCTTTTGTCAGAATATTCGTATATTTAGTTATATTATATACCAATATTGTACGCAGTTTTGAAACTGATAATTAAATAAATCATATTAATGTTAACTAACCATAATAAATGATAGAATTTCACTAAATTTAAATTGCCCCCCGTATGGTTGAAAACAGCAAATTGATATTTGATTACTTATAGATTACCACCTATATACAAAATGACACGAAGACCTGGAATATGGCGCCCCACTTGATTAGACCTTCTGCGCATGTTGACGCTCATTCTCTATCCCTTCTATTTCTATGGTTAAAACACATATAGGTGGCGCCCTCTACTAGTAGGAGTCATATTGACATCAAAATCAAATTTCTCATGTCAAAAAACTCACAGACACCAATTTTCATCCAAATATTGACGTTACTTCAGAAATTATTTAAAAAAAATCGAAATAAAAATGAAACTTCTACACCCTGTATCTCTGAAACTAAGCATTTTAGGACATACATTTATACGAACTTTTTTATTGATTTTTATCTGCAGAATATGCTGCCGAAGTTTCCGGAATACAATTCGGATGTATATTTTCCCTGCATATTTGTGTCGTTTATACAGGCTGAAAGAGTTTTGAAACTTTAAAATTTTTTGATTTATTTTTAATTTTTAGTTAAAAAACATACTATATCTTCATACTATGACAACATAGGTAGTAGATTAAATTTGCAAGAAAAAAAAACAGAAAAGGTCCAGTCGTTCTCAAATTTTCAGCGAAAACATTTTTTTTTCAAGTATATTGGTTATTTTGGACTAATTTGAAAAACGGTAAAGACAAAATATGTTCGTCAAACAGTCGTTTGTTTTCAGAGTCAAAGTTGTTAGAAATTAAAATAAGCTATAAAAATATTTTTTCCAAATTTTGAAAATATCATTCAGCGGATTTATTTCAGTTTCATAAACATGATGACACCAAAATTAGAATTTTCTAAATTTGTTAAATTTTCTTGACACCTCATTTTTACAGGAATATTAATTCAAATTGAATCTGCATATTTCTGGGTAGTTTTAGTATCGCCTGTTTATTAGGGTTTCTGTTCAAGAATTGTCTTGTTTCTTTTGTTTTCTTGCTGTAAAATGTTTATTTTGTTAAAAAAGTTTTTCTTTTAATTATCTATATGTAAAATATATTATTAGTAATTTTGTGGCTTTAATTTTACTACTTATTTTTTCTTCATGTAAAAGCTGTTCTTCATGTGAAAACTACCGTATGATCGAAAAAAAACGGCGTTGATCTCATCTATAAATCTAATTTGTAATAAGGCAAAAAATTAAAAACAAAGTGTTTTATTAAAAAAAATAAAATTTGTCGAGAATTTCTGGCTGAGAATTTTCGTGCCTCGAGAAATATAAAAGGTCGAAAAACCAGAAATCCAACACCTGTTTGCTGTTATGCATATTATACTCCCTTGTTTATAGCGTAACAGTGAACCTAGTATCTTTCTGATGGGAATATTATCGTTAAAAAAATATTTAAAAATCGTGCATCAAAATGCAATTCTCCAATCAAGAGGATAAAATCGGTAAAATCTTTGTGATCTTGATAAAATGGTGAATGACATTTAAAAAAGCTACAACAATACTCTAAATAATCCATAATCAATCTAATAATTCTAAATAATCATAACTTGGTAACAAATTGGTCAAGAAAGTCAAAAGATTTAAAAAAATTCCAAGATTTCTTTAACACACAGACATTTGTGGTTAAAATAAAAAAGTAAAATATCAATCAAAAGAATCAATAAATTTGATAGTTTTTTCTTAACTTGGTTAGTCACGACTAAACCTGCTGTTTTTTTTAATAATAACATCTAAAAAATCTATAAATACAAAAAGAATAAGAACAGTCTGTTCTATTTGTCTTTGATCTGTATTAAATCATTTTAAAACATTTTATGGAACGTGAGAAACACTTCACCTCAGCATACACAATGAAGTGTCACTAATACAAGCAATGACCTATTTTTAATCTTATTTAAACAGACTTTGTGGTAATGAACAATGTTCAAATAAAAACTAAGGAAAAATATTGTAAATGTATACATAATATTAAAAATATTTATTTATTACATTTTTAATTAATAAAAAAATAGAAAAAATGACTATTGAATAATACATTATCTTTGAAAAATATATAAACAAGGATATTAAACATATTATAGTATATTTTATTTTATTCATCCAATTGTCAAGAACATTTTATAAATATATAAAAAATTACTTCTCTTTTCTATAAATTCCAACTAACAAATTATTTTTATTAGTACACGTAACAGGTTGTAATTTTCCTAGAAATACTTCATATCCACACTTCTCCGCGTACAACCTTCTATCGGTATCTACTATATCCATACAATAATAACCTTGTTTCGTTTTCAAGTTTTCTACTTCATGCGTCTGGTCAGCAGCGTGTGCTAGATGAAAGTACTGATCAAGATTTGAACTAAATATTTTGTGGAACTCCTCACTCCTCGGATAAGAAACTTCGTGACAATTTTTAATACCACCATAACAGCATGGGCAACATATAAAATCTGCTTTATTTTTAATGCACATCTGCATCACTAAATCACTGGCTACTCCACAGGCATGAAGAGCAATACCCAAGTTGAAACTTCCAATAAAATAGTCCAAGTTAGATTGAACCACGACTACATTATTGAGTTTTAATTTCTTGATAGTTTCTCTAGCTCTCGAAAGTGACTTTTCTTTGTTTTCTACGAGAACTACTGTACACTTTGGAAATAAATGAGCTACTAGTAGACCTAAATGTCCACTACCACTGCAAAAGTCTACTATTTTATAATTCTTATTGCCTACCAGTTGTAAAACTGCCTTAACAAGGTTCTCCAACTGTTGACATTTTCTATCTGAACGTTTTTCAGGTAATGATCCCCCTTTTGGATTAACTTCAATGGGTATCTTGTCCCAATCAAAAATCTGTTCAAATCCAAAAGGAAAAGTGTCATTTTTAATATCTTCATAATGCTTTGCAGCATCTAATGCATTCTCAACTTTATATTGTTTGGTATGTTTAACTGCCACAGTTCTATTTGGATCTGCATTATAAAGACTCACGTTTTTAACATATGGTATTACAACTTTATTTACATTACAAGCAGTTTGTAAGTTCTTTATATTTGTCTGAGGTATGTCCAAAGATTGTAGTCTATCAAACCACTGTCTTGTGAGAGGTATTTCAGGAATACATTTTTCAGGCAAGTATTGAAAAAATATAGTATAACAAGGGTATAAAATTACATCTGCCAGTGACATATATGGTCCTTCAGCATAATCATGCTGCACAGAAAGATTCTCTCGAGGCGTTGAACTTTTTAAACTCTGGTCATTAATATTATTTCTAGCAATTTTATAAATATTATGGATCCTCACAGGTTGTGATAAATGGTTTTCATATTTTACAATAGTTTCTGGCAACATAATATAATCATCTTTATTAAGTTTATGAGAAATAAGATCTTCAATACTTTGTATTATATCAATTTCACAAAATTTGGTCCAAACAGAACTTTCAGCGCATGCCACTAAACAAGCTTCTCTAAATCCTAAAAGATTTCTTACACTATCTTTTACACTAAGTTTACATATTTGTCTAGCTACTGAGCAAAGACCAGATATTACATAATTATCTATTAAAAGTATTGGCCACTTGCAAAAAGTTGAATATTCGGATACATCAGAAACATCATGACAAAAGTCAGTTAAATCAACATTGATTAAGGTGTCTTGAGATTTGTTTGATATTATTCTCACTCTGAGTGTTATTTGGGATCTATCTGCTAACATCAATATATACAGAATAACAAAAGTCTTTATATCAACAAAATATTCACCTTCTTCACACCACACATCAATTAATAACAATGCCATTTTTACTATACACAATTTGCTAGTTGCCTTTGGACCCTCTGTAGCATACGCTTATTTAAAACCTTCTTCCTGGCGACTACACAGAGCGTTGATAAAATACTCATTGCCAGCATGAAGCCCTCAAATCTCCAAAATTCCTGTTCATCATAATAAGCTGCTCTATCACAACTCCTGGTTACAATTTCACCGTTGGCACATTTTAGTACCTCCTTATAGTGAGTGTGTATACAAACTCCAATACTTTTACTTCTAAGTTCGAATGGTGTGCATGGTTCGCAATCTTTTATGACTTCAAATGGTTCTTTTTCAAAACACGTTGAATTTTGCTCCACTATAAAATTATTCCTTCGTGATGTAGCTCGATTATTGTCTGTCCAGTGTGATTCAACAATTAAAACGACAATCGTTAATCTAAAATATTTACAATGAAAAAAGGATGTTTAGGTTATAAAAAGGTGATATGATTTTGCCCACTTACACTCCTAGAAATGTTATTCCTAGCAGCATGCGTTTTTTTGGACATGATTCAATCATTTTATTACCTTCTATAGAGAAAATTATTTATATAACTTTACTGCTTAATTATTATTTTCTTAGATTATTTTAGATTATTTTACTTTCATATTTTATAACCTCTTTGGGTGACAGATGACAACTCTGGGTGACAGATGAAAAGTTGGTTGTTTAGGTCTACTGTTTCCTTGGTTTAGGTCGTAGTTCAAATAATTTATTTCTTAGGCGGCAATTTAAATTAAAAAATTATTGTATTAAAAATATCTTTATTTTAAAAAGCAAGACGCAGCTAAAGCTGTTATAAAAATATAATAAATAAATAAATATAAAAGGACTAGTATTGCACAGTAATTAACAATGGTGCAAAAAGGCAACGATAATAAGGGTAACAAAATCGAAATTATCAATGAGGAAATCAAAATTTCATGAGATCAGTCAGCAGTTAGTCTACTCTCTCCTATTTTTCTTTGAGCTTCATGGATATTCCTATAATCTTCCCATGACTTCATCCAAACGGAAACTAGTGTCTGGTAAAAATCTTTTTTCTCTTTCTTTTCTAGTATTTTGCGTCGTGGGGGCTGGATATCCTTGGGGTTTGAAGTTTTCCTGTTCTTCTGGGGAGGAGCCACTTCCAGTCAGGTTACTTGGTTCCAGTCCAATAACTTGTAACTCTTCTTCCACCGTTGACACTTCTCTCTTACTGATTCTTTCATTAGCTGGTAGTTCTATGATCACATCCCTCACTAAATCGATGCTTCTTGCACTTGTGTTGATCACCAATACCGAGAGAACTGCGAAAATCACAAAACGCACTACGGAACTCATTATAAATAGCTGTCTTATTATTTTTTATGTAAATGTTAACTCTTGTAAGGTTTATTTCAATCTGATTCATGTGGTGCGGCCTCAGCGCGTTTTTATAGTAAAATTATCACCTGGTCTGGCTGATTGACGCACATACCATTTCCATAATTAATTTTGTATATAAAAAACAAGCGAGTTAAAATGATTTATTTAAACAAATCGACTGTAGGGAAAGAATGCTCTTTTACGCACAAGACTGACATAATATTGACATTTTCCATTTACGTTCAGGTAAATGTATTCCAAATCGAGAAAAATCTAAACGTTTTCGATCTATTATTAGATTATTGTTTATTTACCTATGTAGAAAGTAGATCTGGTAGGACAGCTGCAGTGGTGTAACATGGCAAAATGTTAAAAGCGGTAATGAAATAAATGTTAAAACTGCCTCAATTATCAATTTTGAATATTAGCCTTGTTTATATATTCTTATTAGGCAGTAATTTTTAGATCTTTGTCAATCGGCTGTTTCTTGAAAGATTTGAATAAAGTTACTTATTGACGTTGTGCAAGTTCAGGTTCAATGAATGGGTATAATAAATTATTAAATAGATTAAATAAAAAAAAACGGTCAAAATATCAGACAATTCTTCGTAAAATTGTTTCAATTTTGCATCCCCCATTTTTTCAGCCGCAGAAGTACTTAGAGTGCATTTAATACTACCTGAGCTGCGACGGTTAGAGGATAGGTTAGATTATAAAAAAAAATTAAGAGTGGAACCAAAGCAATTTAATTTTTTATTGACAAAAGTCGCACCTCCAGTTAAAAAACAAGAGACATATTATTAAGAGTAAAAGTCCATTTCACTAGTCCGAAAAAGTAACAAAATAACCGTTCGGCATTTAACGTTTTATGTAAAACTGGCTAGGTATTTTTACGCAAATAAACAAAGGAAATTAAAGATAAAGGCTTATATACTATATCCGTATTGTAGCACATTTTTAAACAACGACATCTTTATTTTTAAGATTTTGATGGTCAAACAGCAACAAAATCTTAAAAAATAAGTTTTGTGATTACAGTGATATATAATTTATATGGTTTGGTAACAAATTGCTCGCTAGTTTATAGCAAATGCTGAAGCTTTGCAAACCTAATCAAGCCTTAATCAAAGCACGTGTGTTTGGAATTTTGGGTGTGGCTTAACACGACCAGGAGCGGGTTAAGTCTTAGGCAGATTTTTGAAATATAATATATATTTCCTTCGGCCACACACCCGCTTTACCCGACCTCTGAGTGTAACCCAAACAGTACAGCATAATCGACTCTTAATCCAAAATGCTCTCCTCTCTCCTCGGTTTGAGCTAGAAATTACTCTTTTGTCCCTAATTTTGTATTCTGGATTCCGTGTGTTTCATAAACACTAATACTAATATAAATTATCAAATTTTACAAAATTTTCTTCTATCCACCAACTTGCCGCCATGTTAAAAACACCACTTGAACGTCAAAAGTTAAATAATAGTCAAGTGAGACTTAAATCAAGTGTAGTAAAAGGATCATTTGGCAAAAAACTCTGTCATACTTTTTACTGATTTTGCTCTTGTAGAATTATTGTACTTAATATACCGTATGATCGAAAAAAACGGCGTCCAGTTGACTGGGAAATGACGAATCGTATCTTATCTGTAGACCGTTAGAAAGTTGTTAACACAGGTTTTATTGTAGTTAATATTTAGAAATGATGATAGATTATAAAATGATAGCAATTTTAATTTCAAAGCCATTCCTGACTCCGTTTTTTTTTCGATCATATTATACAGGGTGGCGCACCTCATTCGCCTCGGTTGATTATACGAAAACGGAAAGATGTAGAAACAAAATATTTTAGGGGTATATGTGGGGAGACAATGTGCACAATTTAATATTATTTTGAAATATAGGGTGTTTCAGAACTAAGATTCATACCAAAGTTATATTTTTTCTTATGGAACACCCCGTATTTTATTTAATTTTTAGATTCTTCGGCCCAAAAAAAAGGTATTTATTATAAGGGTTAAATATCTTTAAAATCTTTGGTTTTTGAAATATTTTAAGATATTTAAATTTGCATGCTACAATAGAATAGATTATTAACACCCTGTACATTACTTTTCAGAATTAATTCTTATGCTGAGTTTAAAGATACAGAAATAAACTTTACTGAAAAATGGTATTAGTTCCTTAAATTTATACAGGGCTATCAAAAGTTGCTGATCTATTTTAACACCCCTATCTAACACCCTGAATTGTTTTAAATAAATCGAGGCACATTCAAATGCTCTTTCAAACTATATTAGGGTTTCCTATACCTATCTTGCTCAGATTTTGAATAAAAAGCGATTTTTAAATAAAATTGTAATCAAGATGGCTGGTGTCGCCATGGCAATTTTATAGTGACAGTTAGTAACTATTTTCAAAGTCGACATTAGTTTATGGACATTATTATTTATAATTTATAACAGTTTACTTAAATTTACCTACAATAGTTAAATAAGTAAGTATTCATTATTTTATCAAGAAAAATAAAGCAGTATCTCTGGCGGAACGAATAGATATGTTACTAGTGATATTATTTTGTGATGAAAATTACTTCTTAGCCTCAAGGGCTTATGCTCAAAGATATCCAAATAGGAATCTTCCTGATAAGAGTTTCTTTGAAAAACTTCTTGTCCTATTTCGCCTGGTAGTGTGGTTTATAAAAAACCTATTAGGCAGAAACCTGTCGTTGGAAGTGAAGAAAATGAATTTGCCCTAACTGGCTCTTTTATAGAAAATCCATGCATCTACAAATCATCGTAAAATAATTCAGACTACTTCTTCGTTTTTCTTGATAGAATAATAAACACATATTTAATAAATGTTATTTATTAAGCTATTGTAGGTAAATTAAATAAAAGTAAACTGGTATAAATTTAAATAAGTCCATAAACTAATTTCGATTTTGAAAATAGTTACTAACTGTCACTAGAAACTTGCCATAACAACACTAGCCATCTAGATTACAATTTTATTGAAAAATCGCTTTTCATTCAAAATCTGAGCCAGATAGGTATAGGAAACCCTAATATAGTTTGAAAGAGCATCTAAATCTGCTTCGACCTATTTAAAAAAATACATACTGTTGCATTTGAAATAACGAAGTTTTTATGTAAAATAAATATTTAACATAGGCCAGCAATTTTTGATACACTCGTATACATTTAAGGAAGGAATAACATTTTTCTGTAAAGTTTATTTCTCTATCTTTAAACTCAGCACAACAACTAATTCTGAAAAGTAATGTACAGAATGTGCAATTTTGTGTGCATGCAAATTTAAATATCTTTTAATATCTCAAAAACCAAAGATTTTAAACATATTTATCCCTTATAATAAATACCTTTTTTTGGGCCCAGGAATCCAAAAATGAAATAAAATACTGGGTGTTCCATAAGAAAAAATATAACTTTGGTATGGATCTTGGTTCTGAAACACCCTGTACGTTTCAAAATAATTTTAAATTGTGCAGATTGCCTCCCCATATATACGCATAAAATATTTTGTTTCTACATCTTTCCGTTTTCGTATAATCAACCGAGGCGAATGAGGTGCGCCACCCTGTATAAAAGAGTGTGTTGATGTTGATACGCCTATGATCGTGGTATAAATACTATAGATAAAAATATTCAATATTTTTATTATTCGTTAATATACTCAACTCCAACAGTCATAAAATAATGTCGGTATAAACAAGGTTAAAAAATTAGCAGATTATTAAATTAGACAAGTTGTTACAACATATTATTAAATATTAAGACGAAAATAGCAATATTTCTATAAAAAAAATCATGAAACATCGTTTCCAGAAACTTTTTAAACTAAACAAAATTTCTTAGAAGATACAGCTCAGCGTTCTGGAAATATCTTTGTCGTTAATAAAATTGGGGATAGGTGTTAAAAAATGCAGATAAATTTGAATGAATCACGAACCGAAATATTATGCAAAACACTATTTGCTCGATTTATTCATACCGATATATACGTTAAGAAATTGATAAAGTGGTCATGCTCTATTTTTATTATTCACATGGTATGAATTTTGTTGGATTTTCCCTTTGCGTATCTTTCGAGAATTTGCATAACAGAAAAGAAAAGTAAATAGACATATGTGATTACGAGATTTATTTAATTTTTATGTCAGAATAAAGAAAATTCACCTAATATGGAATAAATATTATTCTCATCATAATTTTCAGCCTATTCAACCATTTTCAATTATGGTGTAGCCTCCCTCACATACTTATTTAGATACTCTCTTTGTAGTTGGACCCATATTTTTGTTGTCCATTTTTGGCAATGCTGGTGCTGCTAATTTCCTAATATCATATAGTCCATCCTAGTCCCATCTCAGGTTTGGACTTCCTCTAGGTCTCTGGATTTTTCGTGGATAACATGCTGTATATTTTGAGGTCCATCTATTGTCCGTCCTTCTTGCCAGGTGTCCTGCTCGTTGCCACTTGAGGGATTTGATTCTGTAGGTGACATCTATTACTTGAGTCTTTTATCGTATTTACTCTATTCTTTTACGGTCTCTTTTGGTTATTCAAAGCATATTTCGTTTCATTGAGCGTTGTGCGACCTGCAGTTTCCTTAAGTGTCCAGTCCTTCGATTTTAAGTGTCCAGGTTTCGCATGCATAGGTCATGACTGGTAGTACACATTGGTCGAATGTTTTCTTCTTTAGATATAGAGTGGCATTCGAGACTTCAATATGATTGAGTTTCGTTTTGTACTCATAGTCATAATAACGCTTCATTTCTTTCTAATCTCAAATAAAACTTAGAGCGTTATTAGAGTCTTCTATTAACACAAATCTAAAATTTAAAGTGTTTTTATCCTATTCCTAGAATACTGTAATGATTTACATATTGCCTAATAACAAAGACTAAGGAAGGACTAACAAGTTAAACATATACAGTTTTAGTACCAATATGAACAAGGAAGAAATAGCGAGGGAAATGTATAAAAAAGAAGGAAATAATTAAACTGCTCAGCCTTCAATAACTCTCAACCGTATACATCAGTGTACACCAGTGCAGACATGTGCAGAGTGTGTGAGTGTGCGTGTCTGCACTGGTGCACACTGGTGTATACGGTTGCGAGTTGTTGAGGGCTGAGCCGTTTAATCTTTTCCTTCATTTTTAGTATATCCTGTATACCTATAATGCATGGCAATATCGAGAAACAGAGGTAAGACAACAATAAACAACAAAAGCAATGAGAGTGGCTGGATGTCTGAACGACACCATATGGAAAAATAAATACATAGGTGTCGAGATCAAGTCAAGAATGTACAAGGCTGTCGTCAGACCTATAATGATCTATACAGCAGAAACCAGACCGGATACAGCAAAAACAAAAAGATTCTTGGAAACAGGCGAGATGAAAATCCTCCGCAAAATCACAGGTAAAACGCTGCTAGATAGAGAACGAAGGCAAACATGCAAGGTGGATAGCATTAATGAATGGGTATTGAGCAGAAGACGCGAATGGAATGAACATATCAGCCGAATGGAAGAGGGAAGAATAGTAAGATCAGCTCGAGACAAATCACCACTGGGAAAAGGAAGTACGGGAAGGCCAAGAAAAAGATGGTGTGATAACCTTACCATCGACTGAAACTGTATGTAGGCATGATGTGAAGAATGAACAGGCAATCTGCCTAATATAGAGTAGGAAGAAGAAGAAGATAATGCTTGTGCTATCTTTACTTATTTTTAATTGTTTCATTGTCACCAGTTGTCCCAAACAAAACTGTCAAAAGGTTTTTACTGACACGTGCCGTTGCCTGTAATAGAGAAGGCTAGGCAAAAACAGATAAATTTCTTATTTATAGTAACGTCAATGTTTTAAGATGTCAAAATTTACGTAAAGCGTTTTCGGCGAGTACATTTTTTGTGTGGTTTTTTTGTTTAAAACATTTTGTCTAGCCGTAAATTTTCATGTACAAAAAGTAAGTGTTCTTAGACGAAACTTTGCGCCCTTTGGCTATGCCACAAGATGAAGCGTGTGGGAAAGGAACCTAGGCTTTTGCCTAATGTTATGGAAGCAATAGCACACCTGAAGGAAAAACGCGGTTCAACACAAAAACAAATTATTGAACACGTAAGTTTGACCAAATAACCATTTTTTTTTATTTATAATTATCTGATATTTGTCTTTGTATTACCTATATATCGGGTGTATAACTATATACCGCGGGGTATAACTGTTCAAATACTGGCTCCCCTGTTGATTTTATATCGAAGTTCTGAATAGATTTTTTAAAGGTCTGCGTTTGATAAATACCGAGGTAAATACCCATACCACACTTGGACAATTTTGGATAATTTTAACTAATTTAAGAAAAATTGCATCAATTTTTAAATTAAAACTGAACAGGTAACAGTGTAAACCAGCAAAATGCTAATATACCTTAAGTTGTCAACTTATGAAATTTGTAAGTGTCAAAATGTACATTCCATATTCCAAATGTTCAGAATTTGACCAACTGCAACAAGTTTTAAATTACAAAAATGCACTTTAGGATACACTAATCGTATGTAAGACAGCTCAACAAATTGCATTTAATGTTAAGCTGCTTTGCTTTTAAATCAATTGTAATATTTCTAATATTATACCATTGAATTTAAGACATATTATTGGCAAAAAGATTTTTTGTGTCTTCTTTTTGTCTCTATTTATCTTTATTTTCTAAACTATTGTATATTTTATATTATATTTTATACTAAAAAACTACCGGTATATTTTTTAAAACTTTTCTTTATTGTTGTTCAATTATTATTATACAGGGTGTTTCAAAAAACATGGGGTGCCATCTCCCGTAGGGAGATTTCTCTCGTAAAAGTAAGATTTATTTTTCATATTAATATAGATCCGATTCTGCTTTGTTTCGTAGCTACAGGGCGTTAAAGTATTCATCTTTTTGCGATTTATTATAATTATTTTCTTCCAAGTGACGCAGATGTTTTTCTATAGAAAAATATTCCACTGATAACCCAAATGCACGTCACTGTTGAATTTGTCGACACTTTTTTAGCATTAAAATATGTAGCACCAAGTAGCACTCATAGTAATTTTTACTCTTCAAAATTCATTCGAATCGCTAAAAGCACTTGGAAGAAGATTATAATAAATTGATATAAAATGAAGATTTTAACCTCCGGTAGCTACGAAATGAAGCAGAATCGGACTCATGTTGATAAGAAAAATAAATCTTATTTCTACGTGAGGAATCTCCCCACGAAAGATGGCAGTTGTTGTTTGAAACACCCTGTAGATGATTTTTAGGTTCTCAAAATCACTCAAAAACCACACGACATCTAGAAAAGTCCGACTATATTTGACAATTATTTTTATAATGCCTAAAATTAAAGTAAAATATCTTTGAAATGTTAAATTCCTTTAGTTTGGTTAATTCGAGAGACTTTTTTTCATTTTACATACAATTTATTGGGTAATATTACATTGTATTATTTCCAGTTGGCTCATCTTTTGAAAAAAGGTAACGCTGTCCGGAATGTCACTATGCAAGTACGAAGAGCGCTGGAGCACGGGATCAATTCTGGTTTAATAAAACAGAAAGGTGGCAAATATTCTCTAGGACTAGACAAGCGGGACTATGCCATTTTTAGACGATTTCGACAAATCGATGAACCTTTAGGTAAGAAACGATAAATATACTCGTTAGGTATAAGAGGATATTTGAATAGTATCGATGCAACCACAGCTTATTCCTTTGAATAAAAAAGACTAGAGAAGGGGCATATCAAAAAACTTAGATGGAGCGCGATGGGGACCTAAAATGGCCGACTTAAATTCCGGTACTCCGGTCAAACATGTAAAAATATAATGTAAGGTAGACTCAATTTGTTTTATTTTACGTTGTCAATCAATAGTAGTATACAGGGTGCTCCAGGCTGAGCGTGCATTTGAAGTTTCTAGAGAACTACAACATCCAGATTGGGGATTTTTTGCACATCATTGTTTCACAATGAGATCTATCGATTAAAAATATTTTCAATATGGCGGCTCTTCCGGGAATACCGGAAGTTGATAGCAACTTTCTTATTTTAAAGGGGTGTCCCCATTTTTTATTACATATTTAAATTCCCTGTAAAATTTTATGAATTTTGATAATAAACATTCTATACCTAACATTAACCGTTTTTGAGAAAAAAAATATTTAAAATTTTTGGACGAAATAAACTGTCTGTCAAAAATATGTGTATAGTCTAAACGTCAAATTTAGTGATTACCACAGTCACTGTGCCATAAAGTGAAGACATGTGGCCTTCTATTTAAAACACTTTATTTTATTTCACTAGTGAAAAGGCTTTTCAATTCGTTAGTTTTTGACTATACATGTTCCTATGCCTAAAATAAATCATTTTTAAGTTATTTAAGATTTAGTTTTAAAGCGTATATTTTTCTTGATTTTAACGAGGAGCTTATGACTTTAAACGTCAAGTCATGTAAAACAATATGTCTGTCATATTGTGATACTTTGTTCAAAAAGCAGTATGTTATAGATCATCATTTCCAAGCCAACTTTGGCGCTTTTTTTTTCTTTCATACGGTATATTATTAATAATATCAACTATTAGATATCTAACAACTATTAGATATCTAATAATTAATAATATCAACTATTAGATATCACTAAAGAGCGAAAATACGAGATATATTTTATAAATACACTTCTTAGTATTTATAATATAGGAAATTTAAATAATTCGTTTTCTCACATATGGAAATAAATTGTCTGACTGTTTGACAGTTAATGCCTAAGCTAGATAAAATCAAGAAAAATATACGTTTCAAACTTAATCTTAAATAACTTAAAAACTATTTATTATAGGTATAGGAATATGGATAGTTAAAAAGTAACGAATTGAAAAACCTTTTCAATAGTGAATTAAAAAAAAAGTGGGTTTCCATTTGACAAAAATGATTTATGATAATTTTTTAATCGCTCAATTCCATGACAGCTACCGGCATTATTATATGACATTTGAACAATTTAATTTTTGAAATAGATAGCTACATGTCTTCTCTTTATGTCACAGTAGCTGTGGTAATAACTAAATTTGACGTTTAGGCTATACAAGTTTTTTTGAAAGGCAGTTTTTTTCCTCCAAAAATTTTAAATATTTTTTTTTCTCGAAAACAGTTAATGTTAGGTAGTTTGATTTGATATTCATAAAATTTTACAGAGAATTTAAGTATGTAAAAAATATGGGGGTCCCCATTTAAAATAACAAAGTTGGTGTCAACTTCCGGTATTTCCGGAAGTGCCGCCATATTGAAAATATTTTTAATCGATAGATCTCATTGTAAAACAATAATGTGCAAAAAATCTCCGATCTGGATCTTGTAGTTCTCTAGAAACTTTTAATGCACGCTTAGTCTGGGACACCCTGTATATGTCACTGTAAATGTCCGAAAAGTAAGTAAAACCTAGGTTTTATCGCATTTCGAGTTGGTTAGCGTGGTTATTTGGAGGGTGTTAATTCACTGGTAAATCCTAGGTTGAGCGCGCTTATCCTAGGTTTTATCGCGCTTATCCTAGGTTTTACCACATTTCGGACATTTACAGTAACATATATATATATATATATATATATATATATATATATATATATATATATATATATATATATATATATATATATATATATATATATATATATATATATATATATATATATATATATATATATATATATATATATATTAATAGATAAGTTATAATTATTATTTAATAAATACTTATTAGATACGCTACTGAAGCAGATAAGTCAAATTGACGTTTCTTAATTATTGTTGACAAGTAGTAAATAAAAGCGAAAATGCAAGAAATGTTATAATTAGTTAATTCTAAATTAATTTCATTAATGATTGGTACTACACGTATAAGAGTAGTGAAAAGTTATTCCATTATTTCCTTCGATTTTTGACCGAGATCTACTACACGCTGCACAACCGACCATTTCATACCGTCACTGTTAATTTAAGTTCTGACACAATTTCCTTCTAGATTTAGTACCTCTGAACAAAACCAATTTTAGAATAAATAATAAATAATATAAAATAAGCTCAATAAAGACAAACAAATCCACAAAATTTCAAACGAAATTCAAATATTTCTATTGAAACGTCAAACGGAAATGTCAAGGATGGGGACCTATGATGACGATACTGTCCACCATGGATGAATACATGGATAGTATTATATACTCCTTCTTTAATCTGTTTATTCAAAGGCTTATTTATTAGCCAGTTGGTCTTTACTACCTTTTGAGTACTTCCGGCGTGTGTATACAGAGGTTTATTTAGAGAACATTTTCTAATAATAAATATAAATAAATAATATACCTATATATGTAGTATATGAAGCTGTCATACTTCAAATATTTTTACATTGAAATATTTAATAAAAAAGTATATTTTTAGAATGTAGTCATAAACGACGAAGAGGTAGAGGGAGGCGTGGCAGAAGACGCAGGAGAAGCCGCAGTAGGCGCCGCCATCGCAGGAGAGCCCTATCTGTCGAACATGCTGGCACTGACGATTCGGAGTCGGCGCGCAGCGTTAATGACGGTAAGTTTAAATTAGATTACATTGAGGATGATGAGGATTAGGATTTACAGTAGTTCTCTGATTTCTAGATTAGATACATTGTCCAATAATGCCGAATCGTACCCTTTTCATAAAATCTAATAAATTGGAGACCTCGTTGGAGACTGAACCTTCCATTATATATATTGCTATGTAATAGCTTATTATTGCCTAATACAAAGAAAAGAGGATTTTCCTGGCTACCGCACTGAAATAGAATGCGTTGTGCCGTTTCTTCTTCTGATTTACATAATCTGCAATAATTGGATTCGTCGGTTTATTTCATTATTTTTAAATACCTCTTAAGTTTTTACAGTGCCCTGTTAGTAAGATCGCTTCAGCTCTGACAGCTTTCCTATTTGCTTATCAGGTTCTCTGTAAATTGTCGTGAGTGTTTTACTATAAACTGTTTTGCTTGCATGTGCCCTGGTGAATTTATCTATCATTCTAGGGGTTTGTTTCATAAACTATAACCCATTGTTTTGTGACCGATTTTATTATTGCTTTTACAGCATAGTAAAAAGGTTCTACTCAAGACAAATACCATTGATGAGTCTTCTTGGATCATTCCATCTTTATATTAACGTCTTTATGTGTATAGCATTTATCTCAAATTCACAAGTGTTGAGAACATATTTCACAACTAATTTTTTTTATCCGTTTGTATAGATATTATTTATCCCTGTAGTTACAGTTTTATCTGCTGCTCCATTGAGTCCATTTATCCATTCTATGGAGCACCATCTGCTCCATTTTATCTGCTCCATTATCTGCTCCATATTGTAGTGTTACATACCAAAGCGTTTGATTTGTGCAAAATCTACAAGGGGATTTACACCAAAGACATCTAAATAATGTGTAGATATCTTTGACTCACATACACCAACAGAATTCAATCTAGAAATAAGTATATTAAACTTAAAGGTTGCTTATAATAAAGTCCTCCTACTCTGGGTGCCAGCTCACCAAGCTCGCCAGCTCACCAAGGAATAAAAGGCAATGAAAAAGCAAGCGATTTCGCGAGAAAAGGAGTGAACATTCCACTAACTGTACCAGAACCGTTCTGCTTTGCAAGTGGAAACCGACTTAAAGCGGAACTCAAGAACCTGGAAGACTCCATTCGTAACATCGAATGGGAATTCTCCAACGGTATGTTAAGTATATCAACACTCGAAGAAATTTCTCAGAACTTAGGATCTAGAAAAATTAATGATTTTCCTTGATTTAAGTAAGAATAATCTTCGGATTATCACGGTGTTTTTAACTGGACACACTCTCTACCTCAGTAGAATGAAGTTAAAAAATCGGTGAATGCAGATTCTGTGGCCAGAATGGGGAAACACCAGAATACCTTGTCACTGAGTGCGCCGAGACGACTACCGTTCGTGCCATAAACTTTGGTACGGCTAAGGTTTCCATAAAACATTTGAAAATTGCGGACAAGTGAACTCAGAAATCCGAACAAAATCCCGTCAAATGAACTCTGAAATCGAAACAAAATCCGGACGTCGCAAAAAAGAAACTATAAATATGTTTATGAACTTTTACAGGACGCAAATAATCCCAACTAGCAAATATAGTCCCGAGTCCTTTTTAAAATGTCACTGCCGCTAAAGTATAGTTCCTGGGCCCACTCTGCCACTTAAAATGTTACTCTATAAGGAATAGTCACTTTGAAGTATATTTCGAGAGTGACCGGTTAGTGCCTACCTACCATAAAAGTGTAAAATAAACACCCCGATTGCAATGCGCAAATATGTAATTTAAAGAAGTGGCTGGAACTACCCGAATCTTCGAATATGATACCATAAAAGACCAAAAACTTTATAGTAACTTTTCAAAGTAGGGGTTACTAACAAGTGCTACCATAATGCCTCCATTATGTTTTTGTTACTTTATAGTAACAATTTAAGTTACGGGGTAGTCGCGGCCACGACACCTAGTTACTTCTAATTTATAGTAGCATTGAAAATAGCAAAATGGTTACTGCTACCTTTCTAGGTCACTATAAAGTAGCCGTCGCTCATTACAGTTGAGGTTTGGAACCTTTGGTGTTACACAGCAAAATAAAAACACTAAATCACCACAATACACCAAAACACTTTTACTTTTACACTGGACGCGCGTTTCGCTAACCATGTTAGCATCATCAGCAGATGATTATAAACTAAAGTACAATCTACAAGGTGAGCGTTTATATACTCGCTCAGTGGGCCCCGAGTGGGCGTGGCAAAATCTAGCCAACCGAGTCAGAGCCAACTAAGCGTAACAGTTAGATTTCCGCCACTAGAGTAGTAGGAACAAAGAACTTGAAGGAATTGGACCGTTGACTCTGTTCATACTATCTTTACATTTATTAATTCTGATGCTTTCATATGCATCTAATTGCCTGTAATTTGAGACTTGTTTAATTTTTTTAAAATTATTAAGATCTATACAATGTTCATTATCAACAATATGTTCGGCAACGCAAGATTTATCCGGTCTACCATATCTTATCTGAGCTAAATGTTCTTTAAATCTAGTTAATATTGATCTTCTAGTTTGCCCAACATATTTCTGATTACAATCTTTACAAGAAATTTCATAAATACCCGACCTTTCCAGTGGAGGTGTTTTATCTATTGGATTACCTAATAATTGTTGTAATTTATTATTAGCACTATGCACAAGTTTATAATTGACATTCTTAAAAATTCCTTTTAGACCACGGGATAACTCTCTATCAAACGCTATCGAAAAATATTTAGACGTATCTTTCTCCACTTGAAAAGTCGAATTTTCAGAAATCATTAACCTATACCTACGTTTTCTAATTAATTTATCAACTAGTGAAGGAGAATATCCATTACACTCAGCTACATTCCTAATGTAATCTCTTTTTATTTCATATCTTTCGTTGGAAAGTGGGAAACTAAGTAATCTATGAACTAAGAAATTTAAACTAGCCATTTTATGTTCAACACTATGATGTGATTCATTAGGAATATATCTGCGTGTGGTCGTATTCTTCCTATAGATATCAAATTCCAGGCAATTATTAGTATTTCTAATAACTAATATATCTAGAAATGGTAATCTGTCGTTGTTCTCAATTTCATGCGTAAATTTAATGGAAGGAAAACGATTATTTAACTTAGAAATAAAATTATCTATGGTGTCTGAATGTGTATCAAAAACAGCAAAAATATCATCCACATACCTAAACCATACTCTTGGAAAATACTCAAACTGATTCTTAGCCTCCACTTCAAACCTGCTCATGAATAAATTAGCCAAAAATGGAGACAATGGATTACCCATTGCTGTACCTTCCCGCTGTTCAAAAAGTTGTTATTAAATTGAAAACAATTTTGTTTCATACATAACGATGTAAGCTCAATATATTCACTCACAGTTTTTGTTGTCGAGACCATTTGCGTTCAGTAATTCCTTTAAGTAGCCTAAAGTATGTGGAATTGGAACACTTGGGAACAACGAAGATACATCAAAGGAGACCAAAATTTCACCTTCATGCAATGTTATATCTTTAATTTTGTTAATGAATTCAATATTATTTTTAACTGAGAAAGAAGGTTCATGATCAGGTAAATTTTCGAACTCCCTTGATAACCATTTTGCCAAATTATAAGTCGGAGAACCTACAGCCGAAACAATTGGGCGCATAGACTTGTCCGGTTTATGAATTTTTGGCAAAGCATACAATTTTGGTAATGAGGGATTGGATACTTGCAATTTCCTCTTTAAAGAAAGATCAATAAGGGTGTTACATTCTTTTAGAGTTTTTTTAACGTCTGCTACCATCTTCGGCAAGGGATTCTTTTTCAAATTTATGTAGGGGCCATTATCGATTAAGTTGTTAACCTTATCGTAATAGTCTTTTTATCTAATATAACAACCTTATTTCCCTTATCAGCTTTTAGATAGAAACAATCTTTGTTACGCAAACTCTTGACAATATTGTGCTCTTTGTTAGATTTTAATGAATTACTTGAAACAATATTTTTTGATAACTGATTTCTACAAGCCTCTCTTGTAAATACTTTAGAAGCTTCGGGCAAGTGCTGAATAGCAGTTTCAACACCAACGATGATTTCCTCCAAAGCGCTACCAGAGTTGGGCAATGCATACTTTAAACCTTTGTTTAATAAACTGAGCTCTTGTTTATCAAAAGTCTGCGAAGAAAGATTTTCCACTATGTTTATGTCTCTTTGGAAAACATGTTTGTTTTTTAGAGCTTTTTAATTTTTAAACTTATTATTCAAAATGGACATTTTCTTAACAAATTTTGAATTGATAACCACAAACATATTTCTCTGAAAGAGACACCAACATTCATACTCTACATTAGTTAGCTTATAAGTAAGTTTTTTGTAAAGTCCATAGGCTTCAATTTCAAGCATACTTCGTTTACTATACAGAAATTTGATTTCTAAATCAAGCCATTTTTGTTTTGCAATTTTCTCTACCTTATCACTAACGTTACTTTTCGGAATATCAACTTTAATAAAACTAGGATAAACTGAATTGGCTTTGCATGATTTAAGAAACCAAATATCTGCTCTAATAACCTAATCTTAGTACTAAACTTACGATAAAGATTCAGTTCCGTTGACCGTGAAGCCATCGAAGATTACAGTTGAGGTTTGGAACCTTTGGTGTTACACAGCAAAATAAAAACACTAAATCACCACAATACACCAAAACACTTTTACTTTTACACTGGACGCGCGTTTCGCTAACCATGTTAGCATCATCAGCAGATGATTATAAACTAAAGTACAATCCACAAGGTGAGCGTTTATATACTCGCTCAGTGGGCCCCGAGTGGGCGTGGCAAAATCTAGCCAACCGAGTCAGAGCCAACTAAGCGTAACAGTTAGATTTCCACCACTAGAGTAGTAGGAACAAAGAACTTGAAGGAATTGGACCGTTGACTCTGTTCATACTATCTTTACATTTATTAATTCTGATGCTTTCATATGCATCTAATTGCCTGTAATTTGAGACTTGTTTAATTAATTTTAAATTATTAAGATCTATACAATGTTCATTATCAACAATATGTTCGGCAACGCAAGATTTATCCGGTCTACCATATCTTATCTGAGCCGAGATCTGAGCTAAATGTTCTTTAAATCTAATTAATATTGATCTTCTAGTTCTAGATCTTCTCTTCTAGATCGTCGCTCATCCATTGCCACTAAAAAGTCACGGGGGTCAAAAACGGCGACTTTATAGTGACTATAACTTAATATACCCTAATAAATGTAATTGCCTCAGATTGCATCGTGTGCTGCTCTGTTTTAGTGTTTTCTTTTACCTGCTTTTAAGCTTTATTAAAATTTTGTAAAATCCCTAAAGTGAATAAAAATAAATTTAGATATTCTAGTAGGTACTTTCTACCGAAGATTTAAACAAAAGGAATCACTGCGAGCCGAACATCAACATCAGAAACAAAAACTACATCTTTCTATAATCCTACTAATGAACATCATAAATCAGGTAGTGACTGAGACCTCTGCTGAAACGGACGTATGGAAACCATAGGTACGGCTGATGTCGGAGATGAAGAGCTGGCCTCTACGAAGCCGTCTCAGATACTGGCTTTTGTCAAAGCCCGTTATAATTCAAGAAAACGAAACACACAATAGATTTCTAAGGTCGCGGTGATTAAGTCCTCTTCCAATCATTCTACAAGGGTTGCATATTCAGTATTGCCTCTTCCTTGATAGTGCAATTTGCATCGTTTTAATTACACACACACAAACAAGCCAACTCCCGTATACCTAATATTCTTATTTTTTATTTATTTAGATAATACGGAACCGATGGACAGGGGTAGACGCAGGAGGCGAAGAAGGCGTGGCAGGAAGGGCCGCAGGAGGGGTAGAAAGAGGCGAAGACATGCCGAGGCCAAGGAGGTCAGCAGCAGCTCGTCCGAGTCTGCCAAGAACGAGAAGAAGGAATCTCCTCCCAATATCGTTCCCGAGAAGCGAAAGTCAGACCAGGAAAAAATAGGTCAGCAGTAATACAAATGGCACATTAAATATTTGATTAAATATTCTAAAACGTACCTACTTTACACTACTCGCGAAGTAAGCCGAAATAGGTCAAAGTCGAATAGAAAAGGCGGTTATTTCGTGTTTCCTTGTCTAATAAAAATAAGCCGAGACAAGACAAAGTTAGACGATTAAACACGAAATAGCCCTCTTCACTATTAAACCTTGACCTACTTCGGCTTACTTCGCGCGAGTATAATGTAGAGTAGTTCAGTAAATAAGGACACGACAAGAAAGTCTCGGCGTAATTCGTCGGTTTTTTAAGCGGATTGTGTACCTTTTGGGGAGTAGTTTTCAGGGAAAAATTTGTAACACAAATGGCTAAAAATCAATTTTTCGCAAATATTTGCCAAAATATGCAATTTGCAGAAATTTTCTCGGAATAAAAAATGAAGCTTAGGTTATTATCTATGGTTATTATCTACAAAAAAAAGGTCCTGACACTTTTTTTCGTAAAGTCCCAGGAAAAAGGTTAAAAACGACCCTAAAGAGACAAAGAACGGGTTTTTCGCTAATATTGGCCGAAAGATGAAATGTAGATTATTTTCATGATCGGCTAAATGGAAGATTTGGTTCTTAGGTAAAAAAATGATGACACCTTTATCTGTAAAGTTTTTCGTAAAAAGAAACCAATTCGACTATTCGTAATTTTGTAATTTTCTTTTGTTTACACTTTCCGGAAATTCCAAAAAGGCGGAAAAGACACGAATAGTTGATTTTTATTAAAATGCGATTAAACAAATACTTCAAACTTGAGTTGCTTAAAGGGAGAACTTCTAAGGACAAACGCAGAAAATAAATTTGACAAATTTTTTATATTTTTCTTCTTCTTCATACTAGGCGAATCGCCCGTTTGGTTTCGTCGTCTCTACCGGTCAGACTGACAAGTTGTCGCTCAATCGTTTTCTAAGCTTCTGCGACTTAGCGGTGATTTGTCGCGTGCAACTCTCACTATGCTTCTGTTTTCCATTCTGCTGATATGCTCGTTCCATTCTTCCTTTCTGCCGAGAACCCACTCATTTACGTTTTCCACCATGCATGCTCTTCTTATGTTTTCATTTCTCTCCCTGTCCAGAAGCGTCTTTTCAGCTATTCTGCGTAGTACTCTCATTTCGGTTGTCTCTCATAGTTGTTTAGTTTTTGCTGTATCAGTTCGAGTTTCTGCAGTGTATGTCATTGTTCGTCGTACCGTTGTCTTGTAAATTCTAGCTTTAGTTTCCACCTCAATGTTTTTATTTCGCCATAATTGTGTCATTCAAGCATCTTGCTATTCTGGTTGCCTTCGTTGTCCGTTCTCGCACCTCCGCCTCTACATCACCATATCCTGAGATTTCTATACCTAGATACTTGAACTTCATTTCTTGCTGGATAACATTGCCTTTGACTTCCAGTTTGCATTTTAGTGGTACTTTTGATGTCGTCATGCATTTAGCTTTCTGGGTCGATATTATCATATTAAGTGATTTGGCAGTGCAGTTAAATCGATGTAGATCGCTGTAGATCCTTCGATAAACGTACATTTCTTATTATTTCGTACATAATGATGTTGAAAAGAAGAAGGGTCAGGAAGTCACCTTGTCGGACATCACGGCCTACATTTATTGGTTCGGCCAGGACCCTGTTAATTTTGGCATGTATTTGTTTCGCTTCATATATGTTTTTTATGGTTTTAACGAGGTTGTGTGAGATTCGCCTATTGTAAAGAAGGTGTACAACGTCTCTTAGCTGCACACGGTCGAACGCTTTTTCTAAATCAATAAAACACACATACGTTGGTTTGTTTTATTCGATTGATTTTTCTGTTATCTGTCTTATGACAAAAACCGCGTCTGTGCATGATCTGCCTGATCTGAAAACTTGCTGTTCATCTGCTAAGCTTGTTAAGTCGTTAATTTTGTCGTTTATTATTATTTGAATTATCATAAAATATCACAAAATTCAAGCAAGTTCCAAAATGTGATAGCTGTTGATTCTACCTTTTAAATGAACTTTGAATCATCAAAAAATATTAAATTTTAGCCGAGTTATTAAACAATTTGTTAAGACTTGGAAAGAAGATTCAGGTATTTTCGAGACGGAATATTTCTAAAACTACTAATTCTACGCAAAAAATTACAAGGGCCATTTT